CCTTTATCTGGTTCTTTCCTTTGAAGTTTCATTGTGTGCTCTAGAAATTGTGGACTTGAGTCTGTTTTGGAAGCCTTCTCCCAGAGGATTGAGCTCTATGGCCTATCCTACCTGAGTGGACTCCACCTAATCTCATTTGTGTGAGAAAGGTTTTGACTTGGAACTACTCGGTGCAAATGGTCATATGGTGCTCTTGACTCTCTGAAGGATTTGTCTTACCCTAATTTCATTGAACTTTGGAGTTGATGCTGCTTTTATATCCCTGGTGAAGTACATGGATTGCCTCTTCCCAGAATTTCTTAAAGCTTTCAACCTTAGGGCTGCGATAATGGATCTCAATCTCTGTTTACTCCTTGTTTGTCCTAGCGTGAAGCTGTGTTGCTGTTTCACCCTAAGCCCCTTTGATCTTATATGTGTGATGTGGTTCATACCTGATGTCTTGTTGGCAACTTTGTATATTGGATGCCTTTGACACTTAGAGCCACACGCGGATCCAGGAATTGGGAACCATGGGGTCCCGTTTTTAAAATTGTACGGAGTAATATATATTTATATTGCGTAATTATTCACAGACTATAAAAAAATAAACTAAAAAATCTACTATTCAAGATAAAATTTACTAATTTGATATAATGATTTTTTTGTCAAAAGCCTCAATTTAGAACAAAAGATTTAGACATATTCATAATCTTTCTTTATCACATTTTAAGAATGGAAGTAAGTTGTAAAAAGAATAGAAATAAAATGAAAATTAGATTTGTTTAGGAAAAAGATACATTTAAAAAGATCAAGAAAAATTGTAAACTTTTTACATGCATCAATATATTCTATGTAATCAATAGAAATTAAACAGAAACTGGTAAGAAATAAAATAAATATATACGAAGTGGTGGGTTTTAACATTTTACACACTATACGAAGTCTTAATATACTACTTATTTTTTAAAAGAACAAGCCGTCCGGTAAAATTGGAATTATTGTAGATAATTTTTTCTAAAAAATAAGTAGTGATATATATGTTAATACTTTGTATAATACATAAAATATTAAAACCCACCCGTATATTTTTATTTTACTCTTACCAATTTCAAGTTAGTTTCCATTGATTACCTTATTTATTTTATTATTTTTGTATCATTTTAGTAACATTTCTCATTTTTTCATTTTGTATATCTATTATTTTTATTCTTTAAACTAAGACTAATCTTTAAAAAAGGAAAAAGAAATGATGATGGAGGTAGAAAGTTATTTTAAAAAATTAAAATAAAAAATGAAAAAAATGAAAATTCATCAAAAATAATCCCAACTTTCATTTTGTTGCCCAAAACGGGCATTTTCGTTAACCCTCCGTTAAAAACTTAACAGCGACCCAAAATTGGCAAATTTCAGTAAAGTTGGGATTATTATGCATCACAGTGAAAGGTGAGATTATTTTTGAAAGACCAGGTAAAGTTGGGATTATATTGAGTAATTTTTCCTAATAATTTACATGTTACCCGTTGTATCATGGGTGGCTCAGAGGGTGTGCAAAGTGGCCAACCACACAGGGCCTCTTAAAATTTAGGGCACCATATTTTTAAATTTGTTTATAATTTCAAAGCAAAAGTAATCTAAAAATATAAAATAAGGCACAATATGTAAATTCCGGACCGAGCTAATTTTATTTTTTCATTTTTCGGGGCCAGCCCTACGTTGTATAATGTAGATCCTTTTGTCCCAATGTATTAACTTAGTGCAAGGGATATAAAATAGCCAACTTGTAGCCATTAAGTTATTTACTGATTAATAAGTCTGACTGATGAGAACAGATGTCTAAACTCATCTCAGCATGGACATGTATTTCCTTAGTCATACTTATCAATGGACCCTACAAAGACATTATTCTGCTAAAGTAACAGTGACAAATTCTTTGTACGTAATCTACGTCTTCAAATACGCGCAATGGCATTCCCAATACAAAGTCTGTGTACCATCCTTGTTTCATACAGCTTAGGAAAATGAATTAAAGCATACGGGTTCATGCATTCGAAGAACGTAATACTTCAAGTCTAAAGATCGTTAAACCAATAGTCACATTAAGGACACTTAGTGCATAGACTAAAAGTCTAGGCAATATCCTTAAGGTGGGTCAGGTCTGGAATCTTATTATTAACGATAATATCTGCGTGAGAGTAAATGCAAACACTCCGTCATTGACCAAGAGACTAGGTCAAACATCTATCTCTCACTAGTCTCACACGCACTAACGATATCCCATTTTCGTTAATGCTTCAACTATAAACCGTTTAGAATTATACTAAGTGACAAGATGTCAATCTCAATATCAGAAGACTCATTCGAATAAACATCTTATAATATATTTCTAGGAATGCAATTAAGAGTTCACATTAGCATGAGATGTTTGTAAACTTATTACATCTGCCTTTACATGATAGAAAATATCTAAGATATTACAATAGCACTTGGCCATAAGGGCACCAACCCCAACAAGGGGGAGGGCTGAATGAGGGAAATGGGCTGGCTATTTTGGTGGCATTACTTGGGCAGGATATAGGGGAGGTAAAGGGATGTTGATGGGTGTGGGTGTGGGTCATTGTGTCTTGGATTTTAGTGGTTGTTTGTTCAGCCTAGTTGGGGAGCAAGAAAGTGGTTATGGCATGGATTTGGGCTGGGTTTTTCAGCCAGGGGTGAAGGAAAAGGGGAAGGGAAGAATGTAGTTTTGGGTTGGCTTTGGATATTTTTGGACTTGGTTTTGGGTGAGGGAGGCTTGGTTTTAGGGGGTGTTGGGCTCAGGGATATTATGGCTATGTTGTGGGTTTTATAGCCGATAAGTTCAGTCAAAAGGGATCATAACACTTAGCCATTATTTCGTTAATTTGTTTAACGACTTTAGAGTCGTTGGTAGTCACCTGGGGTATATCATCTATTTTCATAGTTTAAACATTTGCTTATGGATATAAAATATGAGCTTGCTAGTTGCTATAACTATTCGAGACCCTAAGATGGCCACTTGGGTGTTCTTTTGGTTAGGAATAGCCTAGGAAATTTGAGTTATCTCAAGTGTGACATTGGGATTAACTTAAGTTTCGTGGATATATATTTGTGTTGTTTTCAATCAATTTCTCGTTGGGAGAATTGAGTGAATATCCAAAGCCATACCAAATGTGTTGAATGCATTGTATGAGTAGTAAATTAGGGACATGTCTCTGGTTTTTGACTTATATAGTATAGTTTGATGTTAATGAAGGTTAACTAGAATTAAAAGACTCTTAGGAGAGGTTGGGAAGATTAGGAACTACTTAGGGGACTAATCTTCCATAACTTTGTCTTAGGTTTTGTTTAAACAATTCTGAATTGGTGATTTAGTTAAAGAAAAATTGGTTCCCCCCTCCTCAACATCAAACCAAGTTCCCTTCTCAACCTAAGAAACAATCAGTTCTTTTTGGTTTCAGATTCACGCAAAAACACTTTTAAAAATACTTTACATCTCTTGTATTTACCTTCTTTCTAAACCATGTTTAGTTTAACTATTCAAGCAACACCCTTGCCCCCCCCCCCCCCCCCAATATGTGAGTGTGTGTGAGTGCTACAGCTGTCTTATCGTGCATTTTAAATTTTTTAATATACTCATTTTAAGGAAAGTTATTTTCTAGCCACTCTCCCTGTGAATATGATCCCTTGTTTACCAATATACTATATTTTGTTAATATATAGCGATCTAAAAAGGATTTTAAATTTGTACAACCTGACTAGGTCATTATAGTCACCACTTCTAAAGGTATGTGGTTTTTGTTGTCTTTGTACACTTCATTTTATTGTGTTCTTTTTTTCGGAGTACTAGGAAATGACGGATGACTCCAATTGTACTTAGAAATTGTTCATTATTCAAAGTAATAGTAGATTGTTTGTATCCTCCGTCACGAAGCATTTGTCCAATTTGACTTTTTGCAGTTAAAATTGCTTTGATCATTAATTAAATGAAATTTATATTAAATATTGATAGAAGAATAATTATATTAGATTTATCTTTTCAAGTATACTACAAATATTTCCTTACGTAATTAATATAGGATGTAATTTGTATTTAATTATACGTCAATGTTTGACATGCATTAACTACAAAAAGTCAAAAGGACAAATGCTCTAGACCGAACTGAGGGCGTATTTTTTTACTTTTGAGCATGAATTTTTAGTAAAAGAGAGAATAATGGGAATGGTCCTAAACTCATTGGGTGTGAGTAATTTAAGCCATGAAGGTAGAAAGATGTTAAAAAAGTAAACTTGGGTGAAATGGACTCACTTTAGACTTCTTTTGAACCGTATGGATGGAGACCAAGTTGCGTTCTCCTAATTGCTGGGAATTTCGTCCAAAGCGGATAACAAAGAGGAAAATACTATTTTGTTTATTTGCGAGTAAAAATGATGCAACAAAGGTTAGTGTTTGGATTTTAAGGCAATTCTGCATTTATGGCATGTTACATATTAATATAAGAATGAGGATTATGGAATAAAATCTTAGTAGTTGTCACTTCAAAAATTTAGAAGGCAGATGAAATGAACACCATGTCACTTCCCTTGTAATGTTACATACTGCACAACTAACATGCATTCCTTACGGGGTCACCAGATAGTAATCTCTGATTGTTCTTTTCTTGCGAGAAAATGGAGGAACGAGAACAGAAGAAGGGCTCGTTGTTGAAGATTCAAGAGTCTTTTCCATGTTGTCTTTCATCTCATAGCCTAATGCTGAGTGTTTCCTTTTCTGAGACTCATGAGTACTTATTTCTGAGACAGTAACATTGCAGGGAGAATTGAATTTGCATGCTACATCTGAACCACTAACATTGAAATCATTAATGGTGGAATCTGTTTTTTCATCTGGAAATAGTTTTAACATCCGGCATTCATTGCCTGAAGGTGCCATTACTCGCTTCCGAATGGAAGAAGGGGATCTTGTGTTAGAGTAACAACTGCTTTTGATGTTCCAAATGCGGGCCTGCCAAAGGAATGAGGAGAATGAACATAAATCACTTTTTTTACTGTGCAAGAAGAATTAAAACATGAGACGTCAATTGCATCATTTACTTTTGAATGGATTTCAGTTTATATCCCAACTTACTGTGAAATCATCTGATGTTGTTGCTATTTTCCCCGTCTCAGATGGGCACCTGTAGCAGTAGTACAGTTAGGTTCGTTTGCATATGCATATTAAGAGGCACTTTCAAGTACATCAATATATCAGTTTAATAGAAGCCATACCAATCTACTGCAGTAACTTCTCCTTCGTGGCTATTCAGTATAATGGGATCTGCTAGAGGATTCCTTATCTGTATGGAAGGAGCTATTGTTATTAATAACGTATAAACACATAGGCAGTCTCGGACTCTCGGTGCAATGTTCATAATGATGACAATTACCTGCCATATGTATGCATTCCCATCACTAGAGCCACTTAACATGTGAGCTGCATCAGGGCTTATGGATGACTGCAATTGCATCAACTTATGTAACACTCTTTAGAAGATGCACCACTTTATAGCCAAAGACCCAAACAGTAATTATCACTTACCTTCACAAAGAATGAATCAATTCGGCATCCAGAGAAAGTTTTCACTGGCCCTAACTCTAGCTGAAGGACGTTGTATAGGTATATTCTGAAAGGACAAAGATTAAGAATCAAATGAATGCATTCATCTAAGGACAGAGTTGTCTCCTTGAAGATTTATCATCATAAAAGAGGACTGAGGTTGAATCCAAAAAGGTCATGCAAAAAGCAGAAAAATCATGTTACAGAATTGAATACCTGCTATCCATGCAAGCTGCAGAGACAAAAACTCCATTTAAATCTTGAGATAAACTAGATATACCATGTAGCTTACTTTCCTGAACAAGGCAAAAAATCATCAATTATTGCTTTCAAAAGTATCCTCGATTCAATGTAATGGTAATGCCAGGTGATTACCTTCTCAGCTGACACATCTGGATGAGGGCACGCCTGGCTGAAAGGAGACTTCAGATTCCTTGTGTCCCATAACTTTATTATGCTGGAAATTCAAAATAACAAATATTGGTTAAAAAAAGGAATAATGGCATTATCAGCTTCTCTCTTAAGTGCTAATTGTTTAAACAAACATTGCAAAGTTGCTGAGACACCTGTCAACAGCTCCGGCAGTTGCTATGGAGATCTCATCTTTTAAATGCAGAACAGATGTGATGCTCATAGAAGAAGCCTGATAAAACAAAGAACATTTAAAATAAAATCAATTTGGCATATAGAGGAATATATATCTAATCACTATATAAAATGTTAAGAATAGTCGGTGTAAACCTTTTTCCGTCTACCACGGCTCAAACAAGAAGAGACATGAGCCTCACGCACCATAGCAACAGGCCTGAAACGGATACAAATGTGTTTTAGTTCTAGAATTTTAGTGCTTTGCCGATTCCAATATTCAATATATTGAATAATAACAGACATATAGTTCCCTTTTACAAGAATAAGATTGCATACATCATGACTGCTTAGACCCCAATAGCATTAAGATTATACAAGGCTTATTGTTAATAATAACAATCAAACAATACACCTTATGGTATTATACTTGTGTGTTACTATTTGCATTAATATTCATACTATTATTATTATTATTATTATTATTATTATTATTATTATTACTACTACTACCACTACTACTATTACTATTATTATTATTATTATTATTATTATTATTATTATTATTATTATTATTATATCCTCATCATCAGCATCATCATCATTTTTTCGATTAACATTAGTGTTTTAGATAATTTTTAGTGGTGCAGAATAACTCTCAAACCGCTAAAGTCGAACGATGTCATTAGAGGTGTGTTTGGGAACAACTTTAGCCTTTAACGTTAGCACTTTGAAAAGGCAGTATAACTAACCGTAGCATTTCAAAAGTAATCTACACCATTATAATTTTATCTAAAATGCTAATGTTGTTCCCAAACAAGGCCTAGATACCATTTTCAAAATGCTAAAGTTGTTGCCAAACAGGCACTTAATCATAATCATCATCATAACCAGCATTATTATTATTATCATTGATGTTGTTATGGTCACCACCACCACCACTACCACTAGTATAAGTATTAGTATTAGTATTAATATTATTATTATTACTATTATTATTACTATTATTATAAATATTAGTATTATTATTACTATTATTATTAGCATTGTAGTTTTCAAATCCACGAAAGATAATCCTAAGCTGCTCACTACTAGAACTTATTGGGAAAAGAAGTCTAATGTTGCAACTTATGGTGTGTGTGTGTGTGTCTATATATATATATATATATATATATATATATATATATATATATATATATATATATATATATATATATATATATATATATATATATATATATATATATATATATATATATATATATATATATATATAACCCTAGCTTTTCTAGGGTTCTACTTGCCGATTTTTCTCTCTGATTGTGCTCTCATGGAAGGCGGCGATGTTAATGGTCTGAATCAAAGGGTGTCTGGGCTAGATCTAGATGACGAAGCTGAGGGGCTCTCCATTTTACCGGAGGGCGGGGCTCCTGTGCCGACGGTAGAGTTCCGAACTTGGACAATCGTGGGTCGGTTTCTCTCCAATAAGGTAATTAGATTTGATATTAGGCAACGGATTATGGCAGCGGCTTGGAAGCCGGCTCTGGGAGTTTGAATCGTCCAGGAGGGAGAGGTGTTCCTGTTTCACTTCTATCATGTTAAGGACGCGACCCGAATCATCGAGGAGGGTCCGTGGTCTTTTGATAATGCTACGTTGGTCTGTAAACTCCTTGACAAAGGGGAGAAGGTTTTGGCTACTGATCTGAATTTTGCAGAGATGTGGGTTCAAGTTCATAATTTGCCCTTTGGTTATTCATCCTCGGCTATTTTAGAAGCTATTGGTAATTTTGTGGGTGGGTTTGTGAAGAATGATGTCAGTCCTATTCCTCAGACCCAGAGGGCCTATGTTAGGGTTCGGGTGGCGGTGGATGTGGGAAGGCCACTTCGGCGTAAGATGAAGCTCACGAAAAGAGATGGGTCGGTTGTTTGGGTTCAATTCCAGTACAAACGTCTCAATACCTTTTGCTTCTTTTGCGGCGTCATGGGACATCTTGCAAAGCACTGTAGAGGGGCAGTTCTGTCTTCTTTGGAACCAGGGGATTACCCGTTTGACGCGTCCCTAAGGGCTGGTGGCAGGAAAAAGGAGTCTGGTCTTGGTTTGCCATGGCTTCGGTTTCAGGACCCTTGGGTGGGGTGTGGGGAGCAGGTTGGAACCTCTTCACTTATGCAAAAAGTTATACCGGAGGAAAAGGTAGAACTTGAAGTTGTGGCAAAGAGGAAGAGGGGTACGGAGGGTAGTGCTATGTTGGGAAGAGACTTGGATATCTCTATGATGGATGGGTCAAAAAACTTGCAAGCGGCGGGTTCTGGCTTCCAGGCTCGCCGGGGACAATGAGTATCCTAAGTTGGAACTGCCGTGGGTTGGGCAACCGACGGACAGTTCAGGAGTTGGCAGACCTTGTGTCTGCAAAGAAGCCCGACTTTATTTTTCTTTTGGAAACTAAAGGTGCGAGAGGAAATGCGGAAGAGTTGAAGGTCAAGATTGGTTTTGAGGGGCTCTTTGTTGTGGACAGTGTCGGGTTGAGTGGTGGGCTGGCGCTTCTATGGAAGGAGAATTGTACGGCTAATCTCATTAGCTACTCTAGATATCATATTGATATTGTTGTTTCTCTTCTACTGGATTCTATGGTAACCCTAAAAGGGATCAGCGTGGCATCTCTTGGGATCTTCTTCGGTCTCTTAAACATCATTCCTCGTTACCTTGGGCTGTTATGGGTGACTTTAATGATCTGTGTTCGGTTAGAGAGAAGAAAGGGGGTTGCCCTCATCCGATTTCGCTTATATCAGGGTTCAATCAAGCTCTTGAGGATTGCAGTCTTTTCGATTTAGGATTGATTGGTTATCCCTTCACTTGGGAACGAGGTCGTGGTTTGCATAACTGGGTTGAGGAACGACTTGATTGTGTCGTGGTCTCTAGGGCGTGGAGGGATTTGTTTACACAAGCCTGTGTGTTCAACAACTTCTTGAGAACTTCTGATCATGCAGCGTTACATTTATGTCTTGACCGTGCGGTTCGGGTGCACAGGGTTAGGAGATTTCGGTTTGAAAATGCTTAGATGCGTGATAATGGCTTTAAGGATGTCCTGACAGAGGCTTGGCGTGATTCGACTGGGGAGCCTTTCTCAAATAGACTGTCGCTTGTGGGAAGAGACTGATGCGTTGGGGAGGGGATAAATTCCAACATTTTGGTAAAAGGCGTAAAGAACTGGAAAAATTGATTGGTGGTATCAGGGGGAAGTGTGATGACCAGAGTCTTTTAGCTCTTAATCGTGCTGAAAAGGAGCTTGCCTGTTTAAGGGACCAAGAGGATATGTATTGGCGACAAAGGGCGAAGCAACACTGGCTTAATTCTGGTGATGCTAATACCCGGTTTTTTCACCAATATGTGTCTCACCGAAAGCGAAAGAATATTATTCATGGGATTAAGGGTTCGAATGGAGTGTGGCATGCTGGGAATTCTTTAAAAGCTTTGATTACTAAGTATTTTAAGGACATCTTTACGTCAAAGGGGGTTGCTGACTCCTCGTTTTTGACTCCATTGTCCCGCGGGTTTTGAGAGAACAAAATGAAGGGTTGTTGGCTCAGTTTGGTGAGGAGGAAGTTAAGCAGACTATTTTTTCTATGCACCCGGACAAAGCGCCTGGCCTGATGGGATGAATCCTGCCTTTTTTCAGAAGAATTGGGGAGTGGTGGGCCAGGACCTGACAAGGGCTGTTCTGGAGTGTATTAGTCAAGTTTCGTTCCCTCCGGAATGAATGATGCCATGCTGGTCCTTATTCCGAAGAAATAGGCGCCACAGGTTGTGGACGATCTCCGTCCCATTGCGTTATGCAATATCACGTATAAGGTTGTGGGAAAAATGTTGGCAAACCGGTTGAAACCTATACTCCAACAAATCATTTCTGAAAGTCAGTCCGCTTTCCTTCCGGGCCGTCTCATCTCAGATAATATTTTGTTGGCAGCCGAGATGGGGCATTTTCTGCGTAGGAAGAGGACAGGCTTGACGGTTAGGTGGGCTTGAAGTCGGATATGGCTAAAGCTTATGATTGTATGGAGTGGCCATTTCTGCGAACTATGATGGGAAAACTTGGCTTTGATGAGGAATGGATCAACCTAGTTATGTTATGCGTCTCCACCGTTCGGTATCAGGTGCTTATTAATGGTGATCTTTCAGAACCGATCCTTCCTACGAGGGGACTACGACAGGGAGACCCATTGAGCCCTTATCTTTTTATTCTTTGTGCGGAGGGCTTATCCTTAATGCTGCAAAACAGTGAAGGTGTGCTCCACGGGATTCGGGTTGCTAGAGGAGCTCCCCCTGTCTCACACCTTTTTGCGGGTGATAGTCTTTTGTTTTTTAAGGCAACACTGGAGGAGGCTGTGGTGGTCAAGAGTTGCTTATCGGAGTATGAGAGGTTGTCCGGGCAGGTTGTTAACTATAGAAAATCCAGCATTTGTTTCAGTCGCAACACCCCTACTCTGACAAGAGACTTTTTATCTCAATTTTTTGATGTGGAGCAAGCCTCCGATTTTGGTAAATATCTAAGTCTCCCCCCTTTCCTGGGAAGAAATAAAGCTAATGTGTTCTCATATATCCATGAAAAGATTCGTGTGCGGATGAGTGGGTGGTCAAAGAAACTTCTCTCGAAGGCCAGAAAGGAAATTCTGCTGAAGACAGTTGTGCAAGCTATGCCTTAGTTTGCTATGAGTGTTTTTTTGTTACCATCTCAACTTTGTCAGAGTATTGAAAAGCTTATGGGCTCCTTTTGGTGGGGTGGGAAAGGGCAGAATTCTAAAGGGATCCATTGGATGTCTTGGACAAGGATGGCAGTACCAAAGAATTTTGGTGGTTTGGGCTTTACACAGGTGAGAGCTTTTAATGTGGCGATGTTGGGAAAACAGGGGTGGAGGTTTCTCACCTGACCTGAGGCACTTGTCTCTCGGGTTTTTAAAGCAAGGTACTTTCCTACGTCTTCACTTTTGGAGGCTCATTTGGGGGCTAATCCTAGTTCTTGTTGGCGAAGCATTTTGGAGTCTCAATCACTGCTTTTGGAGGGTATCCGTCGTAGGGTGGGTAATGGTCGGGACACTCTGATATGGGGTAGTCCTTGGCTTAATGATTCTCAACAACCTTGTATCCTTACGGAGAGACCACCGTTTATGCCCAATCTCCCAGTGGAATTTTTGATTGAGTCCAGTTCGGGTCATTGGAAGGAAGAAGTGGTGCGGGAATGGTTCTTGCCTGTTGATACGCAACGCATTCTTGCTCTACCTTTGGGCACCATCAGTGATGATAACTGGTACTGGGAAGGGCCATCCCGGGGAGCTTATTCGGTGAAAGAAGGTTATCGGCGTTCGGTTGGGGAGTTTACGGTCTGTCCGGGTATTTCAAAGTGGCGTCAACTTTGGTGGGTTTCAGTGGCACCAAAGCTCAAGGTCTGTTTGTGGCTAGCTCTTCGGGACATTCTTCCGACCATCTCTTCTCTTAATTCTAAAGGTATGGCCCTGGACAACCTTTGCCCCTTGTGTGGGACTCCGGGTGAAAATATTGATCATATTTTTGTTGTTTGTCCGTTCTCGAAAATGGTTTGGAATCAACTTGGAATTTCATCTAGCAGTCCTGTAGGGCTGTATTTCAATGCGTGGATGATGCATCTGTTTGACAGGTTTTCATTGCTTGAACTTCGTCCAGTCATCGCAGGGGTTTGGGCGATCTGGAAAGCACGCAATAAGGCGGTTTGGGAGAGGC